AGATGTTGTTCTGATAAGGACAGGCTGGCCTCTATTTGCTGGGGTCTAGCTCGTTTCTTAGTAACGAACCTTGATTAACCACAGGCCCCAGCACAACAGTGGACACAGCAGCAAGAGGATTAGGGGAAAGGAGACGTTATTCCTGCTCTGTTAGAGATAAATATGACCATATGCTCCAGCTCTTGAGAACAGCTTTTAGCAATATGCATAACCCCATGCAAAGCAGGGTAGTCCAGCTGCACACTCTAACCATGAAGTCAACTGCACACACTAACCATGAAAGTCCAACTGCACACTCTAACCATGTAGTCAACTGCACACTCTAACCATGTAGTCAACTGCACACCCTAACCATGTAGTCAACTGCACACTCTAAACATGCAGTCAGCTGCACACTCTAACCATGTAGTCAACTGCACACTCTAACCATGTAGTCAACTGCACACTCTAACCATGTAGTCAGCTGCACACTCTAACCATGAAAAAAAGCTCTAAAGCTTTCCCATGGGACCTGGGGGAGATGTGCCGTATTTTTCGAGGGAAGAACTCAGTGCAAAGATTGTCTGTTAACCCCACGATAATATATGTTTGATAGGTTTTCAATCAAATCTTCTCAAAGTTTCTCAGGAATTCAACAAGCTGATCATATAATTCATCTGGAAAATGAACTAATCTGCCCAGGAAATTTGGCAAAAGAATAGTGAAGGCCATCTGAACTTTCATCTCTCAAAAGGTCCCACAAGCTGTATTTATTAAAGCAGCCATACTGGCAAACGAATAGACAAATAGATGGATGAACCGGAGTAGAGAACAGAGAGGTACATCTAACTGCGAACTTGGTGTAATTGTAGATGATGGTTGAAATTAGCCTGGATGAATGGACCATTTATTATTGTGCAAGGACAGTGAGCCCATCTGTTAGGTAGAGATGGATTACATCTTCATATCACTTAGAAAAAGGCCCTTCAAGGGCCTTTAATCCCAGCGCTCGGGAAGCAGAGAGTTCAAGACCAGCCTCGTCTACAAAGCAAGTTCCAGGACAGCCAAAGCTGTAACACAGAGAAACCCTGTCTTGAAAAACAAAACAACAACAAAGACTTTGATGTCAGAAATGGGACAAGCCTGTATACAATTCCAGCACTCTGGAGATAGAAGCACGAGGATCCAAGAGTTTAAGGCCAGTCTCAACTACATAGAAAGTTCAAGGCCAGCACGTACTACACAGGACGCTGTCTTAAAAACAAAATCAAACTAGAAAAAGGAGGAAGAGCCAAAATTTAAAGTTTTAAATTTTTAAATCTACCAAATTTAACCACAAAATATAAAAAGTATGTAAAATCAAATAAACTTTTCTAAGCCTCTTGATGCTTACCTGTAGTCCTAGCACTTAAGAGGCTGACCAGGCTATATCTAGACCATCTCAAAAACAAAGAAAAGTGTGAACTTAAATGATACAATATAATAAGGAAGCAATTATAACACACAAATGATAATGTTTAATAACATAGAGCTAATAAAAATACAAATTAACAGGAAGAAACAAAAATATAATAAAAATAGTCAATATAAACAGGATTCACAGAAGAAAAAGAAAACTAAATAGCAGGAGACATGAGTCAGGAAAATACAAATTGAAATGAGAAGCACTTTTGCATTTACTCATTTGGAAGCACGCATGTGGCCATGCACACCTGTGGTGGTCAGAGGACAACTGGCAGCAGCCATGTGGGTCCCGGGAATTAAACTGAGGTCATCAGGCTTGGCTACAAATGCCTTCACCCTCCAGACCGACTCAGCAGCCCCAGAGACAGCTTTTAAATGCATACATTAGATGAGCCTTAAACATGTTGGTATGAGGTGTCCATTAAAGTGGCCAGAATGGGTAACGATGCCAATTACTGCTGCCGGTGAAGACGCCAAGCAAGCTCTTAGTTGGTGGTCTAGAAATATAAATTGACCCATCTTCTTGGGAAGGAGATTTGGTGTTATCTCTAAAATTGAAAGTGCACACGTCCTCCAGGGTTGCCCTGGCACATCTCATCTACTGGGCAGTCAGACTTAAAGGTTGTGAACCCAAAACTTGCCAGGTCTCTTAAGGGACAGGTAGGGCTGCCTCTTCCCCTACACTTTGTCCACCCAGCCTGTCCCAGCTTCAGAATATTTTATCTTTGGGTCTGTATTTCTTCTATGACCTGGACCATTCTGAATACGGTTTTGATTTTTTTCCTTGTGGTTGTTGGATAAGTTATATAATTTTTTTTTAAGTTCAATGAGAAACCCACCACAATCACAGCTTTGTGAACCCTGCTGTGTGTTATTGGGAAGTTAATTAAAAACAGTGTTTTATCAGTAGGCAGTATTGTCACACAATTAAAAATTGTGAGCCTTCCACTGTGCACAGTTGACCTCACGCTATGACTCTAAGGCAGTTGCCTCCCCCACCCATCACCAAATGCCAGCCGAATGAGAGCTAGACTCATAGTATCATGATACATGCTATCTTTTGAAGCCTAAAATTTGCTAAGTGGGTGAGGTTTTTTTGTTTGTTTGTTTGTTTGTTTTTGCCTTTTTAAGCACCATTTTCTTGGTGCTTAATGTGGGATCCTGGCCATAGGCCCTTAGGTAAATGTAGAGGGAGGTGTGCCTGCAGTGAGCTCCCTAACTCTGGAGATGAGACAATTGTCCCTGCAACCAGCCTGATTGAGAGCGAGTCCTAAAGACAAGGCCCAGTTGGCCAGGAAGGGTCCAAGGTGGCTAACCGGGCATCTGGAATAGACTTCACTATTCCCCAGGAGTGTTCCTTTGAGGTGAAGTTGAGCCACTGGTTTAGGGGTACTAGAGCTTATGGAGAGAGTTAGGGGGTGCTAGGGGGTGCCCAAGCCCTGGGCCAAGCTAAAGACCTAAGCATTGCAGGACTGAGTAAGATGCGTGTGTTGAGATTCTCTCCATCGGCAAGGTGGACCACTGGACAGTGGATGGTGGGGGAACAAGGCTGGAAGCTAGGAGGCCACGGGGAGGCTCTTGCCAAGATTCCGAGGAGGCAGTGTGTCATGGGGTGAGAGATATGTCATCAGGATATGAAAATCTGCTAGTAGCCAAAAGGAGATTTGGTTGTATTTCTGTCATATTTTCTAAAGTTAAATCATGTTCTAAACACAATTTAAAAGTAGCATATGAAACATACCTCTTCTGGCTTTGTTATTTGTTTGTTTGTTTTGTTTTCAAAACAAGGTTTTTCCTGTGTAACCCTGGATGTCCTGCAACTCGGTCTGTAGACCAGGCTGGCCCCAAAACTCAGAGACCCAGCTGTCTCCTGTTCCGATATTTTTAACCTCACTCTGCTTATCCCTTATATTCACATTGTAAAGAAAACATTCCTCCAGTTTTTCTCAGGAGTTTGGCTTCCATGTCCACCCTTTCCCCTCTACGCAGCCCAGTAGCTGTCTGAGGGTTTCTGTAAACTATGTGGCTGAGTCTGACGTTGTATTCAGCCATCCAATTGATGTTGTTTTTCTAAGGCTGCTTTTTGTTACTATCCTACCCACTCAGCCCTTGTAAGTACCTTCCCCTGCTTTGCAAACGCAGCCTTTTCTGCAGGGCTGGCAAGTGGCCTCGTGTCTCTTAAACACCCTTCTCTCTCCCCTCCAGCCCCAAGAAGCAGCTTGTCTGGGGACTGGCTAACAACAGAACTGCACTTAGTTAACTTTGTGTATATTTAATAGTACACATACAAGAATAAGTAGAAATGGAGCTTATAGAACCATCTGGTTCTATGGGAAATGACAGCTCTGCATGAATGGGCAAATAGGTTAATATAAATCGTTAATAAAACACCCCTGGAGCATAATAGAGAGTGAGAGATTGGTGCTGCCACTCTGAACACTGAGATTCTAGTTTATGTAGAACACACACACACACACACACACACACACACACACACACACACATCATGATCAGCCACTGAGCTCAGATAAAAACTGTGAGAGAAACCAGCAGCATTTTCAGTAAACAGGACTGGTCGTCTTGTACCGTGGCCATGAACCATTCTCAGTTCTTAAGTGGAGAACCCTCTTTCCAGGAAGTACCAGGTTTGCAGTTCTTGTGTTTCATTCCCAGGCCACCATTGACTTCACGACGGGCAGTTGTAAGGGAGGCATCATGCCTGCCTTGGGCGAAGAAGCCTTTGTCTTTCATTAATCCAACAGAAATACTGCTGGCCCTGTTAGCACCTTCCTGGGCACACAGTAGTGCTTCCGCCATAACCCCAAAGCACTGAGAGGCTCTGAGGAGAGTCTGCCGTCCTTCCTGGTGTCACCGACGGCAGCGCTTTTGCTAAAGGAGTAACCACAGCAGCTATGGCAGAAGTGAGCAGTTAGCGAGTGCAGGTGCCGCGCAAGCCACTTTGTATACGTTGGCTCATTTGGTAATCATGAGGCCAACCCTGTCATGTGGGATGTAGTCAGGGACGTTGTGTGCTTTCTTTTTCGCTCTATTACAGAAATAGCCCATGCTGAATTACTTGATGCTCTAAATTTGAAATCGTGATTGGTTTCCGAAGCTAATCTGGTGCAGGAGGCATTAATGGCTGTAGAAGAGGAGCTAATGAGGCCTGAAGATGAGGTGGTGAAAATGCTCAGCTCAGTGGCAGAGTGCTCACTCAGCATGAGGCCTGGGCCTCATCCCCTGCATTGAAAAAAGCTAAAGATGAAACAGATTTTGGTTTGGTTTGGTTTTTATGAGACAGTGTTTCTCTGTACAGCCCCAGTTGTCCTGGAACTCACTCTGTAGACCAGGCCGGCCTCGAATTCACGGAGATCCACCTGTCTCTGCCTCCCGAGTGCTGGGATTAAAGGTGTGCGCACCACCACCTCCCAGTGAAAAGCTAGCAAACGAAAAATTACTGTGTTTATGGTTAGTGTACAGAATGTGTTAGGAAAAGCTTCGTTCAAGGAATGTGGAGGAAATTGACCACTCCTGCTTTCCTCCCTCTGCTCTCTCAGATACATCCCACCACTGATCTGGGGGAAAAGTGGACACATCCAGACAGCCTTGTACGGGAAGATGGGAAGAGTGAGGTCACCACACCCTTACGGGCACCGCAAGTTCATCACCATGTCAGACGGGGCCACTTCTACATTTGATCTCTTCGAGCCCTTGGCGGAGCACTGTGTTGGAGGTGAGCTAGTTTCAGGTCATGGGGTTGGGGCCTAGAGAGAGGGGACACCTGTCAGTGGGGAGCAGTGTGTAAATGCCTGTGCCACACACTGTTCCCTTGCATTCGGGGGGGCGGGGCATGTCATCACCCCAGTGACCTGCGCTTGCTAGTTCACACGGAGCAGAAGTCAGTCCAGAATTATGATCCCCTTGTGAAATGCTAAAGCCGATTTTTATGATTTATTTAATCTCATTTTATGTTCGTTAGTGTTTTGCTTGCATGTATGTCAGATCCCCTGGAACTGGAGTTACTGACAGTTGTGAGTGCTGGGAATTGAACCCAAGTCTTCTGGAAGAGCAGCCAGTGCTCTTAACTGAAGAACCATCCTTCCAGTCCTTGCTGTTTTTTAAATTGAGAGTTATTTCTTTTGTTTGGTTTTGGTTTTTGAGACAGGGTCTCACATGTAACCTTACACTCATGGTCCTTCTACTTGAGCCTCCCTAGAGGGAGGGAGGATTACCCATAATTTCCCATATAATCCACCACCCCAAACCTAATAATGTCAGTGTTCTCATATTAAATGGATGTATTAGGATCTCTTTCTCCATCTTGTAGATGATGTCACCATGGTTATCTGTCCTGGAATTGCCAATCACAGCGAGAAGCAGTATATCCGAACCTTTGTTGACTATGCCCAGAAAAATGGCTACCGGTGCGCAGTGCTAAACCACCTGGGAGCCCTACCCAACATTGAGCTGACCTCCCCACGCATGTTCACCTATGGTAAGCACGGGGTGTGGCCAAGGGGAGCCTCTTTCCTAAAGCGCTAAGCTACTTCTGCCTCCAGCCTTGTGTTGTAGGGGTAGAGCTTGTGAGCATCCACAAGAGATGATGGGGCACACTTAATGCTGCAGCCAGCTTGTACTGGCATTTCCGATGCTCTGCCTTGGGCAGCTTTGGAGACGGGCAGCCATCCCAGCTCCTAGAGGTTCATAAGGGAAGGTCTTTCCCAGGGTCCTTGACTGGTCTGAGAGTGCTGCTGGGAACCAGGGAGATCATGTTTATAGCTGGACTTAACACCGTTCACTCTGCCATCCTGACACCTGTTCCTCCGTATTCCACCAGGCAGGCAAAGATGTAGTGAGGTGTATTAGTGTCTGCCAAAGGGAATGTGCCCACCAGCAGCTTGCTGGATTCTCAAATTTCTTGAGGACAGGAATAGGCTGTCGACTTTACACAAATGCGTGTGTGTGTGTGTGTGTGTGTGTGTGCGCGCGCGCGCGCGCGCGCGTGTGTGTGCGTGCATGTGAGAGAGAGAGAGAGAGAGAGAGAGAGAGAGAGAGAGAGAGAGAGAGAGAGGGTTTCTCTATGTAACAGCCTTGGCTGTCCTGAACATACTTTGTAGACCAGGCTAGCCTTGAACTCACAGAGATCTGCTTGCCTCTGCCTCCCGAGTACTGGAACTAAAGGTGTTTGCCACCACACCAGGCTGCACAAATACTTCTTAACTTTAATAGAAATTTCGCTACCCAAAGTTCTCACTTCTGAACTGTTTCTCCTTTTTTGTTTGTTTGTTTGCTTTTTCTGTTTTTGAGGCAGGGTCTTACTTTACACTATCATCCAGGCTGACTTTGAAGTTGCAGTGATCCTCCTGCCTCTGCCTTATAAATGCTGGGATTACAGGTGTGCCCCATCATGCCCAGCCCTGTTCACTCTTGATTCCCGTGGACTCTCTCTTCAGATTATATATGCACACATAAGTAAGAAACACATGCAAAGGTGCATCTATATGTTCGCATTTGGGACGTTTATCAGCAAACAAACTAAAATATGTTGTAATGGGAAACAGCTAAGTATTCTATCCATAATCTTGCCATACTGGCAGTTTCTAATCATTCGCTCTCGGCTTCTGTCTTTATCCATGTTTACATCGTTTTTATTTAGTTGCAGACAGTGTTTATACTAATAGTAACTTTAAAGCTATGTAGTCATTGTATTAAATGTTTTTAAGAGCTTCCTTTCTGTTTAGTTATAGTCATAGGGTATATAGGTTTTCAGAAGTTTAAATAATGTTTCTGTGAATATTGTGTTCATAGTTTGGGTTTTTTCTTTTCTCTTTGGCACTGGGGCCTGAACCCATAGTCTCCTGCGGGTTAGACAAGCGCCTGTCACTGAGCTGTCACTGTAGCTCTTGCATTTTTATTTTGAGTCAGGGGCTCCCTGCGTTGCCTAGGCTGGCTCTTAACTTGATGAAGGCCAAGTGGGCCTTGAACATGTCATCCTCCCTTTTCAGCCTCCTAAGCCAGCTGAAACAGCCAACCTGGCTTTTTTTTTTTTTGTCTCATTAATGACATCTTAGAAGTAGATTTTTGATAGAATTATGCAGCTAGTATTTTTCTGAGGTATTTGTGCATATTGTCATGTCTTCTGTGGGGTCATGTGCACTGCCGCTGGTGACAGGTAAAGGTCCACTCTCAAGTGGGTAAAGGAAGGAGAAAGTGGCTTTAGGAAAGTATAAACACGCATGTGTGTTTTGTGGCAGGCATAGGACAGCGCTGGGAATGGCTCCGAGTCCATCCCCACCCTTGCACTCACCCTGTAACTCAGACACCCCTTTTACAGGCTCTTCTGCTCAACAGCCTGGTCAGGGGTTTGAAATAGAGATGAACGTTCAGATTTACACTTAACCCAGGTGCATGGGGAACGTGACACACGGAGGAAGAATTGGCTCTAAAAAGCTGAACTGGGCAACTCTGAATGCAGATGATAACTGTAGGGGTGATAATAAGATCCTGGAATGGGCAGAAAGCCATCTGGATGAGTAGAAGATAATGACGCGCCGCTCAGCTGCAAGGCTCAGCAGAGACTTAGAAACACCATCTAACAGCAAGGGCACTAACACAAATTAGAAATGCCAATGAGGAGCCTGGGCATGTAGCTCAGCCAGGACAGCGCTTACCTCGCACGCGAGTTCAATCCTCAACACTGCATAACCCAGGTATAGCCTTACATGAATATCTGAAGACAGAGGCAGGAGGTCAGGGTTTCAAGGTTACCCTTGACTATATAGAAGTTGAGATACTGCCAAAAAGAAGAAAGAAGAGTTGAAGCCACTATCACTGCCACCAGTGAAGACACCTACCCCTAGTATATGTACTGGTCTCAAGTAGATAGAATACCCTTAATGTCAAGCACAGCAAACCCAGAGACAAACAACTTTGGGTGAAAAAAACTGAAGTACACAGGAGAGCCACTTAGTCAGGTGCGTCAAGCCCGTAAGTAGAAGAGCTGAGACAGGAGTCTAGATCCAGCTGTTGCATCCTTCAGAGTCATCTCACAGCTGGTAGAGCATCCCAAGTCCCTGAGAATCCTAGAGTGTCCTTGGCAGCAGATGAGGGAGGCGGATGACATTAGAGACTGGAGTACAGCTGGGCAGTGGTGGTGCACGCCTTTAATCCCAGCACTCGGGAGGCAGAGGCAGGCGGATCTCTGGGAGTTTGAGGCCAGCCTGGTCTACAAGAGCTAGTTCCGGGACAGGCACCAAAGCTATAGAGAAACCCTGTCTCGAAAAAAAAAAAAAGAGAGAGAGAGAAAAAGAGAGACTGGAGTACAAGCTGAGAAGGAGCAGAGCGGGTTCTGGGTGGGGTGTGTTCTCAGTGAAGACCCCAGGTAGGAAACTGGGGTCCTGGGTCAGACCCTCCAATCCAGCCACAGCTGGCAAGGTGGCCCCACTGAGCCTCAGTCCCCGATTCTTCAACAACATCATTCCTGAGGCTCTAGTCCAGAAAGACAGATGACCTAGAAGAGATTTGGCTTTTGTGGCTGGGCAGTGTCAGACCATCGTTTAGCTCTTGCTCTGCGTCTTTTAATTGGGTTGAGGTCAAACAAAGATGACTTTGAAGAGGTGTAAAAATCTAGAATGCAGATAGCTTATTGAAATCTCACATACCCATGGCGGCGTGCAAGATGCTAGAGAGAGAGAACCGGTACGTTCTCCGCAGCTGTTTTTAGCTAAACTTAATTGATTTTTGATAAGTGAATCCTTGGGCTGGTGAGCAAGGAGTACTTTTAGAAAGTGGCCCGATGCATCACAGCAAAGCCTAGTTTTGTTCCTTTTGACAGGGAAACTGAGACAGCTTAGCAGTTAATAAGCTGGAAGTGAAAAAAAAAAAACAGTTAATCACACTGTAAATCACACGTATTACTTTCATACCTCAGCACAAATATCTCTGTAGAGTTTTATATCTATAGCAAGTCATCATTTGTTTTACGCCACTGCTGCGCTTGACGTAGCCTGGTATTTGACGTCGTCAGTCCTGACTCACTGTACTTTTGTCACCCACGCCTTTCCTTTCAGCTGAGCTTTTGAAGGATTTGGTCAAATTCTGCCTTGAATTTCTGCAGGAGACGAGATAGACTAACTGATCCATGTCCCCAGCATCCAGCAGTTCCGAAGCAGAGATGTATTTCTGCTCACCCTACAGAAATGTGTGTTCCTGGCACAGTCTGGGGCCCTGGGTCTCCATCACTGCCGTCTTCGTACAAAGGCCCAAGTTCTTAAAGAGCAGCCACCAGCCGGAACATGACCAGCCTCACAGGGGACAGCGAGAACCTGGCTCTAGAAGCTTCTACCTAGAAATGATAGAGATTACTCCTGGCCATAATTTCTTGGCCAAAGTAAAGAAGACTCCCAAGCTTAACTTCAATGGGGTGAAGGAATGGAAAGTAGATACTGCCCAACTCTTAGCCCTACCACAGTTTTTCATCAGAATTGTGATTTATAGATTAACTTAGAAGACTTTGTATGGACAGTTCATGTTTTCTTCTTCCAGGAACTGGGTAGTTATTAATCTTCATAGAGAACTTCTAGCCCCCTGGAGAGGTCAGTGGTCATACTTCATTGGTAGACTTCCCCCTGGGAAAATGTCAAAGATCTTGTGTTTATTGTAGATACTTCCAGAGCAGGGAGAGAGGACAGTAGAGTGAACACAGGATAAACCCCAGGATCCCAGCGCCTGCTTCAAGACTCTCACAGCTCCATACATAACCAGTCTTAACAAGCCTTGTTCCTTCTGTCAGCCACCCCTTCCCACATCCTCTCCCAAAGGTTATTTGGAAACAAGTCCCAATCAGCTGGGCCTGTCGTCTGTCACGGCTTCAGTGTGTTGTGCTATGACACGCTGGGAACTGTTTTAACTTGTTTGGACTACAGCGGTGCACCGTCTGGTGGCTCACCCAGCAGAAATGTATTTGCCCACAATGACAGATGCAAGAGTCTGGACCTCCGAGCTATCTGTGTGGCCTGGAGATGCCCCCATCCTGCTATGTGTCCTCGTGGTCTTCTCTCTGTGCTTCTGTCGGGTGCTTCTCAGTGTCCTGATGTCGTCTTAAAGGACACTGCCTGTATGTATCAGAGCCTGTCCTAACCACCTCTTTTCAGCGTAATTAGACCTCTGAATACGGTGGCATGCTGAGGGACCGGAGGTTAGAGCTTTCGTGTACGGATGTGGGGAGGCAGCATTGATCTCATAGCCTAAACACGAGCACGTTACAGCATCTCAGCTAAAACAGCACCGCTTGAGTTCCCAGAAGAGCAGTTCACTTCCCCTACTGTCTTCCCTCCGCTCCCCTTTTACTGCGGGTTGGTCAGTTTAGAACCCACATCAGGTCCATATGTTGCAATTGGCTGGTGTGTTTCTTAGACCTTTTGAATCTCCTTCCCTCACTTTTACCAGATTCCTAAGCGAGCTGTCGTTGTAGGAGTGATTGGATGTGGATACTAG